GAGTCCGACTACTAAATATTGCTGAGGTTGGCTGTTGGGATCCATATTAACAAGCCTAACTTGTGCATCCAAAAGAAGTTAGTTCAGACATTATCCTTACCTTGGCCATCTAGGTTTGAATGATCCTGAATTTCTATGAAATTCTCCCAATTTTATTTGATATTCTATTTGCTACTACATTCTTATGCTTATTATAATTTAAGCATCTTTAATGAACTGTAATTGCATTGATCTTACTTAACAAATCGATATTATTTGAAAAAAACACCAATGTTGTTATTGACTACAATTCTAGAATATTCCATGTATATAAACATGCATATATGATTGTAGAGCCAGAAGAGGAAATTATCGAAAAGGATATTCTGTGCTCAATTATTTTGTGTTTTATAAATCTAAAATAACTGACTGACTGAGTTTCAACGTAGAAGTTCAAGTCGCCACACTGCATGCAGCACACACCATAAAGATAAACAAAAAGAAACAAAAATTCAAAAGAACTATAATGAGCATAGAAACTCATGGAAGAAAGAATAATTACATGAAGAAATATGAGCACTTTATGGATCTGAGAGCATACACGAACTGCATACATCTTTGTCATTGAGCATCTAGTCACTGTTTCTCAGCACTTCGTGGACCCTCCGCCTCACCCAACAAAAGAATATGTACCTCCCCCCCCCACCATATGTGACTCAAAGCAGCAGTCAGAGACTTCATGGATTGATGCCAGATTCTGCTTTCATTACCTAATCCGATATCAGTTAACCATGCCCCGTAAAGGAAGGCGGTGGCTTGGCATACTTGACACCTAGTCTCCTAGCCATCTCAATCAATGTAGCTCTTCGCAAAGAAATACAAATTCTATGTTAACTGTCATAATATATCCAGGAAGTAAACATCAAAACAAGGAGTTGAAGTACAGTCTACACACCAGGATATTATGTTATTTAGGTTTGAGACTACATATGGTATCGTTTGCCTATTGATGTTAACCTACAGGCTTTGGAGTCAACACATACGCTTACGTTTACTACCGTGCACAGACTAGTTCGTGTAAAACGCTCGAATATAGGAGAAAAGACGTCCAGAGAAGAGTTACTCTCTTCTTCAGAGGTATCATTCTCAAGCTGTACAATCACATACATATATAGTAAATTATTCTTAGCCAAGAAAAGGAATACTTCCAAAGATGTGACATTAGAATTGTAAATTTTAGACAACAGATTACGTAATACAAAGGGCGTTAATCGGGTAGAAACTAAAATAAAACAACCAATATGCACTGAAGACACACTTGATGAGGAAGAAAGAAAGTTAACACAAACTCTGGTTGATGACAATTATCCAGACAAGTTCATCAGGAGATATACAGCAGTCAGAACACCAAGACCCACTCTCCAACTCGCCCCTAAGAAAGACGTATACATCAAGCTACCCTATATGGGGCATCAAAGCAGCTTGATAACTAGACAAAGACTGAACGCTGCTGTCAAAAAGACTTTTTATGCAGCCAATATCATAATAATAGAGAATGTTAGGCCAATATATCTATCTAAGCCCTTCGAACATGAGAAAAATGACGTCACATCCCACTGTATTTACCAATTTGAATGTACGTGTGGACACACATACATAGGGAGGACTCATCGATCTCTGCAAGTAAGGGCTTCAGAGCATATTCCTAAATGGCTCCAGAAACAAATAGAATCTCCAGAACCTATTAACGGTGAGAACAGGAGACGTAGCTCTTTTATTGCGAAACATATTATAGAGACAGGACATAAAATTGACATTAACAGATCTTTTAAACCTATCTATAAAACGTGTTTGGGGCGTATCCTAAAGTTTGTGGAAGCCCTAACAATTAGAAAGTTTAAGCCACCTTTATGCGTTCAAAAACAATTCGTCATGACATTAAACCTTCCTTGGTAAATTTTATTTTGATACCATAGCAGATGTACTATTGTGGTGAGAGCTGTCTACTAGCCAAATTGGTAGACAGTAATTTACGTCAATGTTTACGTTCTCAAGATTTGTCGTGAGAAAATATGAACAAAGACTGCTTCAAAACCAATCACAGCAGACTTTGCGTAGGCGGATACAGTTAACATATAGATGATCTGACATTCAAGAAACAGTCACAAAGAGAAGAAAGATTAACTTTAAGTGAGAAACAACCAATCAGAAGACTGTGTTTGTTTACTTAACTATTCTATAATAATGTACATGGAAATATATAAATATGCTTTGATTTCCTTAATAAACGATCTGTTGCCTTGCCCTTGTCTTCTGTTGTAACACTATTACCTCTGTTATTTGGTTTAATGGTCTTCATTGTTACTTTGACCTTGAATATGTCCTTTAAACTTGACCTAACTTGTCTATTTTCTCACCTCTTGCCTCTTTATTAATTTCATATTATATATTCCTATGACAAGTCCGTGTCTGATGGATCAGATTGTTCAACATGTGTTGCGCAAATACATTACACACAGGATTCAGACAAATTACGTCTTCTTATTGCTTGATCTAAATTCATAAAGGGAACTAATTGTTTTAAAAATAAAACAAGTAAATTGAATGACGTGATATAATTGTGATAGGACTGAGTAGCATTCAACTGAAACAGAACGACAATTAAGTTAACAACAGTGGTAATAAGGGGTAGAAATTTGAAAGGGAGTGTGCCGGGGGTGGGGGGAGAAAATAATGAAACTAAGAAACAGAAAAATTACGTATCTAGAGGAGCTCAACTACGTCTTCTATCAGTAGCTGAAGCGGTTGCAATCAATACAAGAAGACCGACTGTTTGTATACAGAAGAAATCTGTTCAACCGCTATGGTTACCTTGGCCTACAATAAGGCCAACAAATCCTCTATAAACATTAGCACTTTAAATTCTAATCACAATTTTCTTTTCTTCTTCTTCTATTCCTTTTGTTTCATTGATAAACGTTCATTTTCGACTTTTTATGATTTCATGACCTTTCTTATGATTTTATTACCTTAGGTTTAAGTAGTGCTTTTCTAACTTGTTATCGTATTTAGTGTTAAGATATATCAGGTTCACTGTAGATTTAATGACTGGACAAACTTCTTTTGTATGCAAAGTTCGAGATTTCACAATGTGCATAACCATTGCTTTTTCGAATTGAAGAAATTTGATTCACAATCATTTAGCAAAATTCCCACGTATTCTGTAGATAACTTTGAAATTGCTCTGCGGGTTAGCTTGGTTTCGAGATTCAATCACGTGTTCCATGATAGAGCTGCAAAGGGGGGCATGGGGGTCATTTTTCTCCTTTATAAAATCATGAGGGTAAACATTCAGTAATACGTTTGGATAGCGAACACTGAGTACAACAGAAATACCTAGCTCCACACGAGCAGGTGAAATATAAGATAAACATTGATGAGGCCAGCAGTGGTAGCTAGCTTATCCTTCTCGCTCATACGAATCATTGGTTTTGTAGATAAGGTTAGTCGGAATTCAGCCGCAAAGAAGGCTTTCTTCAGTGAGCGGAACAGGCGGTTCCTCAGCATCTCTGTCAATGAATTTCCATTGAATTGTAGATTCAGATAGAGAAGTTTTTTAGGAGCAGAAAGTGTGGGCGGTTTTAGTGGTTTAGGCATCATGGATATGATGTGATGAAATGTTCGAGGTAGCCCTTTTCAAGCAGAATTCTTATCAGAGTGTTCAATGCCTCTTTCATTTAAAATTATAAAGACAAATCCTAGAAAATGTTCCCATTGTCGCTAAGATAATTTATTATATAGGTGCGATTGTACAGTTTAAGAATGATATCTCTGAAAACAGTAACTCCTCGCTGAACATCTTTTCTTTTATATATGAATCAGTCGAATAGTTGATTAATGAAGCCTTTGAATTCGGAAGTAAATGATGGAACTACTTATCAACTGGCATAAAATCTGAGTCCACAGGTTTTTACTGAAGATTGGCATATAACTATTAATACTGAAATAAACATGAATGTCTAAGAAATCTGTATCTATTCGAAATGACTGAGTGACTGGTTTCAACATGGAAATTTGCACTGGTGTGCACCAGTTCGAGTTACCACAATCCATTCAGCACACAAAAGCAAGAGAAGAGAGAAGACAGTAAGTAAAGAAAGATTCAAAAGAGAGAGAGAGAGATAATAAATGGAAGTGTGAGTGAGGGTAGTGAGAGTAGTAACATGGAAAAGAAATAAAATTTTATTGGATATGATAAATCACAAAGAGTGAGTTCATCTGCACCAGCCATTGGGAACGACGATTTCGAGCCATACCATCTCCAGTAATTGTCTCCAGCTATTGATTCTCAGAATCCCGAGGACCCCAGGACCAGTCACGTTGCCTACACCTCCGTGCGTGGCTGACTGGCTGGCTTAAACTAACTGTTATAGATTTCATCGACTGATGAAGTTATGTTTTCGTTTGACCATCACTAGCCTTCTCTTTTCCAACTTCATCCATGCTATGTCAGCTAACATTGCCCATTGTCGAGGAAGGAGTTGGTTAGGCATAAGTGACACATGCAATAACCATCTGAATCGGTGTAACTTCACAACCTCGTCGTCAATTGATTTCCCCTCCTTACCGAGCACTCGACCGATGCCTAACCCCAATATTGCCCACCTTTTTATACCACTTCACACAGGAGATACAACGCAGCCGGCCACCTATGATCAAGGACAGCTAGCTAGGTTTTTCATGTGTTCCACTTTCGATGGGTATGTTTCACAGCCAGCCATAAAGGGGGACAGAGTGAACTGATGAACAGTACACACGCCTTCTGGTCAATAGCCAGTCGGATATCACATCTACACTAAGGATAGCGTAGATGCCAAACGAGCCTTCTGTATCTGTGCTGAGATTTCGTCAGCGATCAATCCTCTAGAGCAGATGCAACTTCTCCCCCTAAATAAGTGAAGTGGTCAACACGCTTTACCCCTTCACTCCCCATCTATTCAAAAGTGAATACAAACAGAAATTTAAATATTTTCAGAAGAAGAAAAACAAAAACAATTGCCACCTACCTGCCAACCTTTTTCATGAGGTTTATAATAAGGAAATGTTCGTGAAATATGAGCATAGATATCAGCTAAAGTTAACCGCTGATTTGGTGATGATGCAATAGCTTGTATAATCAGTTGAGCATAGGAATACGGAGGTTTACGAAATGCTGAACCCCGATCAATAGTTGCTGTTGACGCTAAATTTGCAGCCAACTTGTTTACATTGGATTCAGTCTCGTGATTACCACCAGCATCACTAATATTATTATTGTTATTGTCATTGTGATTATTATTATTATTATCATTGTGTATTTCACCAAACGAAAGACTATCATGATGGACTGCAGCAATACCTGAATCCGTGGTAGTTGTATCGTCGAAATCTTCTGTTCCTATTGCACTTTTATCGAAATTGTTCAACTTCATGGACATGTCAGCTTCAGACGACCTCAGTTGTGTGAGAGGATTTTTCATTAGGTCTGAAATATTGTGATCATATGTGCAGTAATCTGAAATTCAAAGAGGGAAAAATAAGACGAAATCATCAAATCAAATCCATACAAACCAACACTTGAATATCAATGAGATGCTCACAAGTGACTGGTCCCAATTCAGGTAGGTAGTTACTTGGGTTTCTAGTGAGAAGTCGTGACCAGTGGGGTCGGGTGTGAGGACGGATACTTGTCGCTTACTTTACTTCGGCTACCTCCTACGGGAGGATGAGCCGGCTTCATCAACATCTCGAATCATCGCTGCCCAGGCGCGGCGATCGTTTGTAAGAGAGTTCATGAAGTTTCATGGGAATTTGGTACGAGTGATGTCCCCACAATCGCTCGGCCTTTTGTTCGAGAGTGCAGCTCTAGCCTTTACACAACCAAGTGTGACCTACAAGGCAGTAGGAGTGGAGTAGGGAGTCCACTATCCATTGGCAGCCGGTGACCGGAGTTCGGTTCATACGCCTTGTTGAATGGGGCCAGACATCCAGGACATCCAACAAGCCCTTTGTCCATACGTCTCCCGGTGAGCTCCAGTGAGCTTCATACGCCAGTCGTTGGTGGTTTGGAATCAGGGTTTAGCCATCTCCCCTAGACCGTCACCCAATGGACAGTCAACCCGGTGAAGAGCGCCGGGCATCCGCTTTCGCCCTCTCACTTTGGTGAAAAACACCTCCGCCACGTGAAGGCAGTGAGTAGGACTTCCTCAGGAGGGGCTATGTAAGACGCCCGGTCATATGGGAGCATTTTAAGAGGTGTGCGGAGGGGTGGCCAACCCGCAGCGCAAGGCACCCACCCCCGACCATCCTGAGGCTTTGGATACTTGTCGCCGATGACATTGGCTAGTGGTTGCACTACACTGTGGATTTGCAGAATTTGGAGTGCACGGACCAATGGATCGGATTCCAGTAGCTGAATGCTCTACGAGCTCGAATTGTAACCAGAAAGTGGGGGTACATACTGATGAAGAGTCCCAACCTAGGACGAAACATCCGTCCAGTACTACCAGATCTTTCAATGGTTGTCTAACCAATATATGTGTAAAACTTGGGCACTGTGGTAGTAAGTAACTCCATATTAGTTTGTTTATTAGATGTATCACACAGTGAAGAAACAGTATTGTTTACTGGATGACGGTTTCGAACACAATTTATTACTGTTCATAATCATATCAATTGCAATCACAAGACTTCGAAACTTGAGTTTTATAGTTTTCTTTCTTCTCTCCTATTTGTCATCGTTGGGGTAGTAGAATTTTCCAGATATCTGCCTGGACAGGTGTTGAATCATTCCTATTGTGGTGAGAGCTGTCTACTAGCCAAATTGGTAGACAGTAATTTACGTCAATGTTTACGTTCTCACTATTGGTCGTGAGAAAATATGAACAAAAACTAATTCAAAACCGACCACATAAGACTTTGCGTAGGCGGATACAGCTAACATATAGATGATCTCACATTCAAGAAACAGTCACAAAGTGAGAAACAACCAATCAGAAGACTGTGTTTGTTTACTTAACTACTCTATAATAATGTACATGGAAATATATAAATATGCTTTGATTTCCTTAATAAACGATCTGTTGCTTGGCCTTTGTATTCTGTTGTTACACTATTACACGTATTTGCAGTTGATTCGATAAACAAAGCTTCTTTTATCAATCTCTCTCTCCCTCCACCCTGTGACATTAGATTTTAAAACTGTCATCTTATCGCATCACCTATTGTATGGTTGTGTGTAATTGCATGTAGTGAGTGGTATAGCTGAACTATTCTCTAGATTTCTTATCTCATTTGGGTCAACCAATCTAGATTTTGCTAGGTTTTTATGTTCGGCTAGTCTGACTGCCCCTGTTTGACCTATGTATTTGACCTGACAATTATTGCAGGGAGGATATTAGATAAACTAAATTGTTTTGTTTTAAAGGCTCCACTGTCAGGATCCTTTAACCGAAAAAGCCTTTTTCTGATTGAGTTTGTGGGTGATTGAATGCCAGCCACTTTTATTCCTGCCTTGTTAAGAATTCTGCGTAATGTGGTTTCCGAGGTTCCTCCATTGTATAGAATTACTACTGATGATTTAGATTCCTTATTGTTTGTGTTGTCATTGATATTATTATTGTTATTACTATTGCTACAATCATTACTTATTTTATTTTTACAACCAATGTCAACTCATGATGAAATCCTGTAACCAAAAATCAACAGAATTTGATTATCTCAACTCACTCAACAAGTTCTTAATGTGAATACCGGGAACATACACACACACACAAAAGGCCGAAACAATAACCATATATTGCCACTTGTTCAAAAAGGAGAAGTCGCATGAAAAATCTTGAGACCTCCCTCAAAATATCAGTCCACGGGAAAATTACATGGAATGAGCAACTTACTCTCCAGTAAAACGAACTTAAGTCATTCGCTCTGTTTTAGGATAAGAAACATTTGTAATTGTGATTGTATTGACTCAGAACTTGCCTTCATAAAAGTTACGCTCGCAGAAAACGCTTATCCGAACCGATTTATTGACAGAAACAGGGAAGATAAGCAGTTCAAACTAGTCACTGACTCAGTTCCAAAGAAAACCATCTTCATGAATTTGAAATTCAAAGGTGATCAAGCCTCAGATAAACTCAAAAATCGTCTGTCTAAATCAGTCATTAAGGTGTTCTTTGCTGAAAAACTACAAATAACTTTCACCAAGTATAAGTTGTTCTCTGTCTCTATAATAGATAAGCTCTCTCTCTCGTCTGGCCGCGCCCCTATGTGCATCTATCAATTCACCCGCTCTTAGCCGTAGCTAGAGAATGCTTTCCACACAGTTACGAGAATATATTCCACCATGGCTTTACAGGGAAGAAGGGAAGGATGTGCGAAACCCCATTCTAGAACACTTCATGGACTTATGTCACTATAGCAATCCAGAAAATGATTTTCAGATCATTTGTTGAATTCATGCTCTAACTTGATGCGTTTTCTTCGTTATAAACAAACGTATAAAAGACAGAGGAGACCTTGGTCACTCATGAATTCAGGCGAGACCTCTGTGAACCAAAGAAGTGTGTACAGTCTTGATATTTAACCTTAGCCGTAGAGGGATAAATATTTATTGACTTATTTTTCATTTTGTTTATTTAGTTGGTCTACATACCTTTCCCTCACTACTACGATTATTATTATTATTACTGTTGTTGTTATCCTCAATGTGAACTGTTTCCGGTATTATTTCACTTGTCCCATTTGTCATTCTGAATCAAAAATATTTTACCATGTTAAATTCTATCTTATCAGATTTCATATCATGTAACGTAATGCTTTTTTTATATTTATTTACGTGCTAATTCTATGATTTTATACCCTCCCTTCCAACCATCTATACATTCTATGAACTATTCTATTTATTCAATTGTTGGTTTGCAGGGATTTGATTGGTTGGTTACGGGATTTTATCATGAGACGACATTGGTTATAGAGGACCATTGAAAAACCTGCAGGGAGTACTGGACATCTGTTTTGTCCTAGTTTCAGACTCTCCAGCAGTACTCATCCACCACTAGGGGTCGAACCCAGGACCTTCCAGGTACAAGGTGAGCTAGTAGACAATCAAGCCACTGGGACCTGATCCAATGGCGCACAAATTCCAACTTCTGCCAATTCGTGATACACATTTAGCGCAATCACCAATGAGTATTCACACGTTTGTTTAAGTTTCCTCACGGCGTATGATTTATTCAGTTTATATAATAATTTGCTTTATTCCAGAAATAGTACTAGTGGTACAGTGTGGAATTTTCAGCACAATATCTACAATATTTGCATCTAATGTTACAAACATTTAAAAGGAGTATTTGACAAAAAAATTAATCTAAAGACACCAACAGCAAAAAAACAGGATAAACACAAAAATAATTATAAATGCGAAAAAATACCAAGAAGTAGAAAGGAAAATAAACAGCATATAATAATAACTCAGTATTGGGTAGTGGAAGGTATGATATGATTATGCATGGTAACAGTAAAGCTATAGTCATACAAGAAGTTATGAAATGATATTTAAGAATGTTTATCACCAAGATGGTCAGTTTATTTGGTTGAAATAACTCTAAACAATCATAAAATAACATTTCAGGGTTGTTGTTTTGTTTTTTATTGTCAGGTCTAATGTGGAGTTTGTAGTGGTAGTGTGAGTAATCCTCCATAATATAAAATTTTAAGATGGTCATAATGGCGTTCACAACCAAGATTGTCAGTTATATTGTTGTACCACTTGGTAGTAAATTCGCTGGAAGTAGTTTCTCCGTTGACTCACTTATTTTGATCCTCTATAACGGAATCATCATGTGAACGATACCGATGCTATTTAACAGACTACTACGTAAAGGAGGTAAAATCAACAAACCGTCAATCAAGAGGTAGACCATCTGTTGACTTTGTAGGTTTTCGTGATCTGGTTTGATTGAGATGCGTGTTAGCTGGTCCTCCGTAGACCTCAACGTTCTACACTAGCGAGAAGGCACATCAACCGTAGGTCCCTAGTGGAACATAGAGCTTCAACAGCCCATCTCCATTGCGTCTTCTTGCCTGCAGCCCCACGATTGACCATAGTCTCTCGTCTTCTCCATGTCACTCTCAGACCCAGCCCAACTAATCGTTTTCCATTCAACTTTCACTCGAGTGATGGCCTGACACGCGGTGTTACATAACGGTCTCCTCAGAGTGTATCCGATCCATCTCCGTTTTTCGCTAAATATTTGTTGAGCAATAGTCATTCGATTAGTTCGTTCCCAGAGATTCCTGTTGCTAATTGTTTCTGGCTGACCACCTGATCTTCCGTATGGAGTCAGTGACGTCAGCTGTTGGTAAAAGTCTCGAGCAACCTGTTAGAAACGCCTTCTGACCCATACAGAAGATCCGGATTCTGTTGTTTATGTTTGAATGAAGAAGATTTCCAAACTGGTTTGAGAGCAACAAAGTTGTCTGTCTTGCCCTTCTGATTCTGGTTTGTTTTGACAT